CCCTAAACCCTAAACCCATTGCATTTAAACCCTAAACCCTAAACCCCTAAACCCTAAACCCCAGATCCCTAAACCCCCTAAACCCCCCTCCCCCCCCAGGGCTGTCGCGCAACGGCCGACGGGAGGATGCAGGGCGGCAGCGATGCCAGGTGTGAAGCGGCCTGCTCGCGGCTGCCTGCCGAGGCTTAAACGGGGGGGAGGGGGGTTCCTTAAAGGGGAGGTTTGGGGTTTAGGGTTTAGGGTTTAGGGTTTAGGGTTTAGTAATTTAGGGTTTAGGGTTTAGAGTTTAGGGTTTCGGGGGCGTTCCTTAAAGGGAACTAGAAGGGTTCCTATTTCAAGGGCTCTAGAAGGGTACTATAAGGGTTTAGGGTTTAGGGGTTCAGGGTTTTTTGGGGAGTAGAGTCTCAAAAGTCTCTGTGGGGAGGTTTGGAGTTTTAGGGTTTAGGGTTTAGGGTTTCAGGGTTTTTTGGGGAACCGAGTCTCTGGGAGGGATGTTCGTGGTACTGTACTGTGTGATAGCAATGATAGCAGTAATAAGTGGGTCTTGCGCTATTCCATTATTACTTAGAGTTTTGGGACTTTTATTGTACTCTGTGGTAGCAGCAACAATGGGGCATTGGGACAATGCATAGTGGCTGTCTATGATAGCAATAACAGTAGGGATGATGTAGAAGTGCTATCTACTCACATGGGACTCGTAAGGGAAGCATGCTAGCACTGACTTCGTAGGCCAGGGCTTAGCATGTGGTGTTAGAGTCGAAATAAAAGCGCCAGGGTTTAGGGTTTAGGGCTTGGGTTTAGGGTTTAGGGCTTAGGGCTTGGGGTTTAGGGCTTAGGGCCCTAGGGGGTTTAGGGTTTAGGGTTTAGGGCGCATTGGGGTGCTATTTCCCCCCACCCCCCCTGGAAATCAGGGAACCTTCTTGTGGGCTCGGGGCTTCGGATCGTAGGGATGTACTCCAAAAAATCCCATTATTTTAAGGCAAAAACTGTACATCAATCTCGGGATCCCCAAAAAATAATTTAAGGCATGTTTCTTGATTTAAGGGGCTTTTGGAGGCGTCTAGGAATAGTTCGTAATGAGTATGCCAATTCCGAGGGCCCGAAATTGTCTTACATAGGGTCTTGGGTTTGGGGTTTTAAGTTTTAGGGTTTAGGGTTTAGAGTTTAGGGTTTAGGGCAGTTTAGGGTTTTAGGATTTAGGGTTTTAGGGTTTTGAGTTTAGGGTTTTGAGTTTAGGGTTTAGGGTTCAGGGTTTAGGGTTCAGTGTTTAGGGCTTAGGCAGAACTCCTGGAACTCCTGCTCTGCGGACAAAGACCCTTAATGCAGGGGGCCCTGATATTTG